TTTTTTGTGAGTTAGAATTTTATTCTAAATTTTTCTCCAACTCTGTCCAGGACCCTCTGTTGTCTAGGCACCAATTTTAAGAAAGCTATTGATAAACTAGAATTGATCACTGAGGGAGGAAAGAAGGAAAATGGTGGACCAAAAAAAAAAGAAAAGATACATTGTTTAAAGAATGACTGAAGGAAATGAGGATATTCAATTTAGAAAAGAAAACACCCATGGAGGACATGATTGCTGGCTTGGGAGAGGAGAAACTTGCCTGTTTTGCTCTGAGAGTCAGAAATGGGATTAATGAGAGAGAGTTCATGGAAACAGATTTTGGCTCAATAGAGGGAAAATGTTCCCGGTAATTAGAGCAGTTTAATGATGGAAAGGGCTAGTTCATGAATTGTGAGCTCCCTGTCACTGAATGTGTTAAAGCTGAGGCCAGATGAATGCCTGTCTGGGATTCTGAAGAGATCGTAACGTTGGACAAGAACCTGGGGTAGGTGACCTTTAGGATTACTTCCAACTCGCATAGTCTGTGATTTAAGTAAGCATGAATGCAAGGCAGCTTATGACACGCCAGAGCCACTTTTTTCTACTCTTGGCCTTAACATTGACCAGCTGTGTGACCTTCACTAAGAAATTAACCATTTCTTGTACCAGTTTACTTATCTGTAAAATGAAGGAGCTGGATCTAATTAATGATCTCTGACTTAACTCCTCAGCACATCTGTCTCCTTGAGCATCCTCAGAATGCCAGCACTTTTTTCTAAGTCTGCCTTGCAAGAAGATAGCTTAAAGACCAAAAACCATTGTGGATACTGGGGACCCTTGAACTAATCTCTCAGCTTGCTTGTTGGCAGGAGAGAGGGTGATTGTGAGCCTGGAATGTCTTTCCCATGAGATCCGTGGCAGGAAGTTGATCAAATGACTGATAATCTGGTTTCTTTCAAACACCTGTGTGTCTGACTGAGTTCAGCAATGCCTTTGCAAACAACTTAGAAGAAATGAGGTTCATATGACCACTGCAGTACCGTTTTGTCTTTTACAAAGCAAATCTTTGTTCTTTGTTTCCTTAATGATCTGGCAATTGCCGTTGAGTTTTACTTATAATCATAAGGATAAATAGCAGCTTACTATGTGGCAGATATTCTAGAAGTTTTATATAAATTAAACTATTTAATCATTTTAGAAGCTGAAAATCTAATGATGGATCAGTAGAATTAGATCATTTCTCCACTAGAAGGGAGCAGTTAAAATCTAGTTTAAATCTGTCTTAATGGTAAAGAGTTCAGAATTCAAGTCTGTGTCCTCTTTCTCTTAGGCTTCATAGCTGATGCTCAATTATTAGAATTTCCTTTACAGTACAATTTGATTACTAATAGTTTTCTTTTCTGCCTATATTAAAGCACTTCTCCTCCACTGTTATCCTGTCTTTTACTTCTCACTTACTCCCTCATCATTGTCTCCAAATTCCATTTCTTCAGTTATTTTTTCCCCCAAAAAACATGTTTTAAAATGTGACCATTAGTAGGAGTAATATCATTTCCTTTGGTATAGATATGGAGGTTATGGACAGGATTTCAAATACCTCCTCCAGTTACTGAGGTCAGCAGAGGAAGAAGTAAGTAGATGTATACTTCCTGTAAGGACCTAAAGAATTTAAAGCTTCATTCCCAGGATCGTGGGTCTGGCCATTTTCACTCCATCCAAGTATAGTACCACATTTTGTTTCCTTAGCTTAGAAATGAAAACAGTTGTTAAAAATAAGAATGCATGAATCAATCTTGAATCCTGACATAGTAATTACAGTTTCCATCTAAGTTTGTAAGGTCCCTCCCATTGTTCCGAGCCCCATATCACAGCCCTCTGTGGGGAAGACACTACTGATGGTGTCAATTTTTATACCACGACCTTAAGTTTTGTTTCCTAAACTCCTAAGATTAAACACTAAGTCAGCTGCCAAGCCAAGAAAAATAACCGGGAAGACTATAATTCAATTTAAAAACTTAATTCTTGAACTGTGTGTGTTTTCTGACTTAAATTTTGCCTTTGTCCAAATCTCTAAGTAGATATTAGAAATGTCACTTACTACTTCATATTTTTGAAGGTAGAGCTTGTGGGCATCATGGTATCCTCACTGTGAAAAATTTTTGCTTGAACGGTTGTACAGATGATGCTTTGAATTATACTCTTTTCCAAGTGCCTGCTGCCTACAACCCAGTAAACCAGTCCTATAAGGGTCATCCGTAGCGAGGCATTGATGGTTCAGTGGTTAGAATTCTTGCTTCCATGCTGGAGACCCAGATTTTATTCTTGGCCAATGCACCTCCTGTGCAGCCACCACCCACCTGTCAATGGAAGCTTGCGTGTTCCTATGATACTGAACAGGTTTCGGTGGAGTTTCTAGAGTATGACCAGACTAGGAAGAAAAACCTGGTGATCTATTTCTGAAAATCGGCCAGTGAAAACCCTATGGATCACAACAGTCTGATCTACAATTAATCTTGCGGATGGCACAGGACTGGGCAGTGTTTCGTTCCATTGTGCATGGGCTGGCCGTGAGTCGGGGTGACTTAATGACAGCTAACAACAGCGACAACTCTTCATGGCAGATGATCCTCTTTTAGTTCTGCTCAGTTTCCCATGTCGACCATTCAGTCCTTGACTGAGCAATCCTACTGTCTATGGCCCTGATGGTCCCCCCAGTGAATCAGCTGCCTTCAGTTTATCAATCTAATATTGTCCTATCTATGCAGATCATTAAGGAGCCCAGGTGGTGGTGCAATGGTTAAGTGCTTGGCTGCTAACCGAAAGGTTGGCAGTTCAGAAGGTCACTGGCTCTGCCACTTACTCCATGACTTGAGGCAATTCATTCATCTTCCTGTGCCTCAGACTCCTCACCTGTAAAATGAAAATGGTACTAATACTCACCTCAGAAATTATCGTGAAGTTCAGTGAGATATATAAAGCACTTAGAACAGTATCCTACTACGTTGTTGTTGTGTGCCATCAAGTTAATTTTGACACATAGATACCCTACAGGACAGAGTAGAACTACCCCATAAGGTTTTCTAGGTTGTAATCTTTATGGGGCCAGGTCATTTCTCCCGTGGAGCCTCTGGTGGGTTCAAACCACCGACCTTTTGTTTAGCAGCCAAGCGCTTAACTATTGTGCCACCAAGGTTCCTTCATCCTACGATATATGTTAGCTGTTATTGTCAATCGTTTGCATATTAGGAAAAATTAATAGATTATGTTGACGTCTTTTTGACAGAAAGATGAAATCAGGTCACAAAAAATTGGAGTTTCGTCTGGGAAACTGGGAGAGGATAATTTTGACACAACAAGAACGATTCAGTAATGGCTTGCTTGAGTGAGATGCTGTGGTTGGTAGCATAAGGCCACTTGGTGCCTGGGGATAGAGAGGGAAGCACTTATAAGAGAGAGAAAATGAATAGACCTGTTTCTCGTGCTAACCAGTATGCCTAGTAACTGACTAGCTAAAAGACAGAGTTAATCGTCTAGTATGTTGAGCAAATAATGGGATAAATCCCCCAAAAACCTGTTGCTGTTGAGTCAATTCTGATGCACAGGGACTGTATAGGACAGAGTAGAACTGCCCCCATAGGGTTTCCAAGGCTGTAATCTTTACGGAGGAAACCCTGGTGGCATAGTGGTAAGAGCTATAGCTGCTAAGCAAAAGGTTGGCAGTTCGAATCCACCAGGCACTCTTTGGAAACTAGTGGGGCAGTTCTATTCTGTCCTGTAGGGTGGCTATTAGTCAGAATTGACTCGATGGCAATGGGTGGTCTTTACGGAAGCAGACTGCCACATCTTTCTCCCCCAGAACCTCTGGTGGGTTCGAACTGCCTACCTTTTAGTTAGCAGGCGAGCACTTAACCACTGTATCGCCAGGGCTCCGTAATAATGTGATAAACACCTGCAAATGAACTTTGAGTTCAGTACTTGCTTAAAAATATCTGTCTCATAATTCTATCCCTTGTAATATTCTGGTACTATGAGCTCTCTGAACCATTACATTTAAAGAACCATGTAAAAATGTAAAATGAAGTGTTTGCTAAATGCTCTTGTCTCTTTCCTTTAGATTACATGAAGCAGACAACATTTGAAGCCCAAGCCTTTTTAGAAGCTGTGCAGTTCTTCCGACAGGAGAAGGGTCACTATGGATCGTGGGAAGTGATCACTGGGGATGAAGTCCAGGTAACACAGGGCTAAGAATTTTGGGTCTTCTCTTTGTCTGGGTGGTAGGAGGTCAGAGTCATTTTAACAAACAATTAAACAAAAATAGCTGCAACAATGGAAGATGTGATTTCAAAGGCTATTTTTTCTCAACATCTAGAAATATATGGTCAGCAAGATATTGGGCACCCACTCCAGACATTGCCAGACCAGGCACTAAATAGGGCAGCTAGAAACACTTCAGCTACAATGGATAGAACTGCTCCCAGGGTTTTTAAGAAAAAGGACTATTGTTTCAAATGACCTCATGCTTCCAGAGGAGATGCAACAGTGAGCATGATGGTGTAGTGCAGAATACATTGGAACTGTAGGGTCCGCAGACTTGGATTTAAATCCTGGCAAGTTATTCACCTTCTCTGTCTTGGATTCCTCCTCTGGAAAAAAATGGGAATAATGATGTTTACATTGCAAGTTGTGAGAATTAAATGAGATGTTGATGGTAAAGTATTTAGCACATGGTTGGAGGTCTTTATCGAATGCTGTATAAATGAAGTAATTAATGGAAACAAATTTAAAAAGCATTAAGCAGTTTTCTGTACATTTCATTTACCTTTCCTAGTTTTCTGTGCTCCATAGTCCATTATGATTTCCCACGATCCTGATTAAATGCCAGTCATGTGTCGAAGCACCTCAGTGGCTATGGTCCCAGCGGGTATTATGAATCTCCAGAGGAAACTGTGTTTCATGATGTGACCCCAACCTCAATGAGGACACCAAACACATGGCTGATTCAGCCAAGAAGAGAGGACTGGATATGGGCATTATTTCATTATACACACAGTGTCTAAGAATGCTATTCTTCTTTTTTTTTCCACATCCCCCAGAGTACCTCTTTTGGGTCTGTGAAATTTACTATTAGGGAACAACATTCGGTTGATGCCAGATGGCTCCTTCCCTCTCTATGGTCATTAAACATCTAAAGCTGAAAACATTTTCTCATGATGATAGGGCTGTTCTTTATTGTTTTACCATATGACTCAGAATCTTCTTCTTTTTTTTTTTTTTTGGTTGGTTCTAAACTCATTTATTTCCCAACCTGAGTCTTATTCCAGTACTTTAACCAATTCTTGGTTTCTGGTATTTGGGAGAAATACATCCATTTATAAGTCTGAGAGGACTAAGAACTTAGAGTACTTATGCCAAAAAGAAAAACCAAAGCATTAGAAGGGGAAGCTGAAGTATATGACGCTGATTGGTCTGTCATGTAAGCAAACGTATTTTATAGATAAATCAATGTCAAGTTCCTTTGTGTGATATTTTATAATATTCAAATGCTAATTTATCTCTTCATCTTACAAATGTTAAGGGCTAGGTAGGGCAATTATTATTATTTTCATTTTGTAAATGTTAAAACTGAAGTTAAATGACTTACTCAGTTTTATTAATTCAACAGCTATTTATTGAGAACCTCCTATATGCCAAGCACTTTACTGAGTACCAGTGATCCAGAGATGGACAGGACAGATGGCCCTGGCCTGTGGAGCTCATAGTCCCAGGGTTCAATGATAAGTGGACAAATGGCAAAGGGAATAGTAGTTTCTGACTCGTGGTCCAGTGAAAGATCAACACCAACCTTGGGAATATGCTGAGTTACACATTTATTTAGCTTCTTGAGTTCAACTATGCTGCTTGCTTTATTTTTTCTTCCGCCTGAAATCTCATGGCAGCTCACATTCCTTCACAACGCCATTGGAAAGAGGTACTTAGTACATCTGGCTGGTGGGTTGAGTATTGAGTTGGCTGTGTTTTGTTTTGTTTTCAGTTTTTTGATTTAGGCTGATATGTGTTAAGTGCTATAAGGTACAAGATAACTAAATGACACACCCCTTGCCATTGTGGTGAGGCAGGGCATCAATATAGAGGATGAGGCAGCATTGTGTATATGTGTTTGGGGATATATATGTGTGTGTGTGTGTGTGTGTGTGTGCGTGTGTGTGTATCTACATATATGGAAGGAGCCCTTGTGGTGCAAATGGTTAAGGGCTCGGCTGCTGTCTGAAAGACTGGCGATTCAAACACACCCAGCAGCTGCTAGGGAAAAAAGGCCCGGCGATCTGCTCCCATAAGGATTGCAGCTTAGAAAACACTGTGGGGCAGTTCTACTCTGTCATATGGGTTGCTATGAATCATAATTACCTCGATGGCATCTAACAATCAATGACCTACATATATAAGTATCATAAAGCATTAGTGTGAAGCAGTCATACCAGAACTAGTTGCCATTGAGTTGATTCTGACTCACATTAACCCCATGTGTGTCATAATAGAACTGTGCTCCATAGAGTTTTCAATGGCTGATTTTAGGAAGTAGATTGCCAGGCCTTTCTTCCAAGGTGCCTTTGTGTGGATTCAAACATTAAACCTTTCGTTAGCAGCTGTCTTAGTTATCTAGTGCTGCTATAACAGAAATACACCAGTGAATGACTTTAACAAAGAGAAGTTTATTCTCTTACAGTCTAGGAGGCTAGAAGTCCAAATTCAGGGCATTAGTTCTAGGGAAAGGCTTTCTTTCTCTATTGACTCTGGAAGAAGGTCCTTGTGATCAATCTTCCCCTGTTCTGGGAGCTTCTCCACTGCAGGGACCCCAGGTCCACAGAATGTGCTCTGCTCCTGGCACTACTTTCTTGGTGGCATGAGGTCCCCATGTCTCTTTGCTCACTTCTGTCTTTTATAGCTCAAAAAAGATTGGCTTTCGAGAAAATCTAATCTTGTAGATTGAGTCCTGCCTCATTAACATAACTGCTGCTAATCCCATCTCATCAACATCATTGAGATAGAATTTACAACACATAGGAGAATCACATCAGATGACAGAATGGTGGACACACAATACTGGGAATCATGGCATAGCCAAATTGACAGATATTTTCGGGGGACACAATTCACTCCATGGCAGCAGCCAAGCATGTTAACCGTTTGTACCACCCAGTGACTTTGAAGGAGTCATAGTATGATATTAATTTTATAGTATCAAAAATACCATAAGTCACCAAAAACAAAAAAAAATACAAACAAATAAAAACCACAGAGAGAGATCAGTAAAAGCTGGAGTGATTAAATGACCCAATAAGAAGTTTTGTTCCCCCAGGAATTTGAGTATCTTTGGTGCAATCACACACTCATAAAATCTGAGCACTAGGAGGGATTTTAGGATGATTTGTTCAGCACTTTCCAGATGAGAGAAAGGGTGCTCAGAGAGGTTAAAAGTCTTGGCTGAAGTTGTAAGCCATCTGTGACAGAAATGTCAGGCTATCCTTGGAGAGGCTGGTAAAAAGGAAATGGTTTCCAAATCGTTCCTACATGGAGCCTGGCAAGGTTTAAGGCTCACAATAACCTCTAATAACATTGCCGAATAAGAAAACAGGTTTTTCCTAAGGCTCACAGATAAAAGAGGTCAGGGATCCAAAGAAGCTGCCAAGTAGTTAAAGTGGCATTGCGTTACTGAGCTTGAGAATATGGCATCTTTTGAGTAAGGCACTCGGTGTATTTGCATTTTTTATTCATGCCTGCTAAGAACTTAATCATAATGCTGTCTTAAGCCCTATCCCTAGGGACCTGCTTTCAGTCTTGTTACGTTATTACCTTCATAGCACTGACTCACACAGCAAGCATGGCATGCCCCCATGACAATGGTTATTTTAGGCAAGTGTCCAGGCAAAGCAAATAGAATAACTTGCCTGAAAGACTATTAAGATGAAAACATTTACATACCAGTAAAAATATCAGGATGTTTTCTACTTGTCAGTATAAATACATCAAATGAGATCGTGAGGGAAGATCTTTGCAAAATGTAAAGTACTGTACAGTTGTTTGGAATGTTTATTATTTATCTTTAAATTCACCAGATGGGCCAAGAGAGCAGCTCCTCATTCCCACGGAACAGGAGGGTTTCTAGATAAGAAAGCGTTGCACATTGTTTAGGCCTTGTCCATACTTTCCAGTGTTGGCTGTTGTCTAATGGCCCGAGTATGGCCCCTTTAAATGAATTCTTCACCCCTGGCCACTCAGCAACACAAAGGGTAGGGGGCCACCAGGATGGTGAGACTGAGGGGCCAGCCGGGGGAAGGAGGACAGTCTCTTACACCTTCAGCATCAGAAAGGTAACTGTGTGGCAAGGCCTTCAGGTGGGGAACCTGGATTTGCTGGTCAACTTTGTGGTATGTTTGGTTTCATGTATGTGTGATGGAATTTAAAAATCTCCGTGTCCCAGCAGTTAAATTTAAGGCCACTTCTTTTTTTTTAAGTAAAAGTGATACTTTTAGGTTTCTTATGGTAAAACTCAGTAGATCCTGCTTTGAGGGGAGGAGGTTGGGGAACTCCCTCGTTATTATGATTCATTTATCAGATTAGGTGCTTTCCTTCAACTAGCCCAAGGGCTTAGGACTCTGCTGTGGAGAGCTGACCAAGGTGGGGGATCTGGAGCAGGCAGGTGAGGGAAACATAGGGTCAGGGTGAGGGGCTGGAAGTTAGAGGGAGATGATAGTGTTGGGATGAAACACAATTGGCGTTCAGAACCCAGAGGCTCTGCCTGCAACCCACTCCTACCCCTTTTTTTTCCTTTCCAGACATACTTCCTTTTCAATTCCCTAAGTGCTAAAATAGAACCAACTTTCTTGGAACACTGTATGAGAAAGGACTAAAAGAAAACTGTAAGCCCACTCAAATGGAACCTTTCCTTTTTGTTTTTTTGGCCTTTGTGTAGCATTTTCTTTTCACACTTACGCTCAAATTCAAACTAATCTCTGTAAAGCGATGAATTAGGACAGTTATTATCATTCTTGAGTTTAACACTTTTCAGACCAAGATCATATTTCCCATTGATCCTAAGTTCTGATTTCAGTTTCCTTACCCTCTTAGCCCAGTCTCCCCGTGCCACACTTCTGTCACTCTTGGGCAGACATGTTTCAAAACAAGAATTTATTCCACAGAGCAGGCTGGGGATCCCTGGATTATTAATGACCTACTTGAATCTAATTTTTGGACCTGCTGATTTACATGGAGCTCACGTGTCAAGTTCCTCTAAAAGTCATCAGAAAATAGTCATCCAACTCTTGACTGCCCCCAGAGACTTATTCCGAAAGATAAAAACATCCCTGCCTATGAATTACCAGGACTAGTGGAAATCCTGTCCCCATTATAATCTTTGTCACATCACAGTCCCAAACTGCAGATGACGGGAGCTCCAGTGAGCGTACTGACCTGAGCAGACTTCTCTCCCAGGACTCACAGGCACACTAGGACTGGATGGCTGTCCACCTCCACCCTGGGAGTGTTCCTGTTTAGTTCAGCTATTGCGTTACACCCTGCTACAACAGCGCGGGTGAAAGGTAACATCTGGTGAGCTCAGAAGTGTTTCCATCACCATGAGACTGACCTCTGACCTCAGAGAAAACCTTTCTTAATTCCCAAAGCTTAATTTGAATTTTTCGAGAAGGAAGAGGTCAATTATTTTAGACAAATACTATTTAAATTTGTAGAACTGATGTTTCCAGTGATTCTCCACTTTTCTGCCTGCCTCCATTTCCAAAAGTACTCTTGCCCTCTTGTAAATCTTAGTCTGCAGCCTACTATTGAAAGCTGAGCTGTGATCCCCAAAAGGCTCCCGGTCAAAGTAAACCTGAATAGGAAGGCTGCTCTAATCTAATTCAGGGTCAGTGGCAGTAAAGGGGAGGGAGTGGTGCAATGTGGAGCACTGTCGTGAGTTTACATGTAGAATACCGCTCAGATTCAAAAGAATCAATTTCATTGATCCGAACAAAATTTTAGGGGAAAGATTTGGAAACAATTTTTTTTTTTTTTTTTTAAAAGGAAAAGTTGTTGTTTGTTAATTGCTGTTGGGTGGGCTCTGACTCATGGCGACCTTGTGTATAACAACGAAACCTGGTAACCTTCTGATGAAGGAGCTCCTGCCAACCTTCTAGACAGACCTTCTGCCTAAAACAAAGGGGACAAAGAATGTCAGGAAGAGGGCCTGGTTCGAAATGTTGCCTGGTCCTGTGCCATCTCCATGATTTTTGATATGTTTGAGCTCATCGTTGTGGCTATTTTGCATCAGTCCATCTCACTGAGGGTTTCCTTCATCTTCCTCCACTTCACCAAACATGATGGCCTTCTTTAGTAATTGGTTTCTCCTGATAACATGTCCAAAGTAAGCAAGATGAATTCTCACCATCCTCGCTTTCTAATGAGCATTCTGGTTGTATTTCTTCTAAGACTAATAAAACTTTAGACATCCTATGTTCTGCTCAGCCGACAAATGTTCAGTTGTTCCATAATATTCGTTACTTCCTTCTTTTTCTAAACTTTAACAAGGGTAGAGGGAGGGGTTCAGGGGATAGTGGGGACAGAGAGCATGAAAACACTTGGATCCCGAGGGAACTCGAGGTGGGATGAAACTGCGAGGGGATCCAGACTAGGATTCAGCCACCAAAACCAAGCCTGACGTACATTACAATTTTGCTAAGGATGTACTTATCCATAATTGAAATTTCTCCTATTGTCCATAATGCACTAGATTCTTCTAGTTTGAATATGCAAAGTTTGAAGTTGAGGAATTTGATTTATTTTTCCCAATGGGAAAAGTATATAATAAGCAGGCATCATTATTATTCATTGTGGATATTTAGAACATTTACCCACTAAGACTGTCTTAGCTGAGATGTCTGTGGCCTCAGAAGAAGGGCTTAAACCATAAGATGAACCTAATAGACTTCATGTAGCCTGGACAACCTTACATCGTCCCGGATGGTGACAGCCAGTCATGGCCCCTTTTGGTGGCCTGATGTTCAGATTCAGCCTGACCTCACTGACTAGCCAACACGGGGGATGTCTTCCACTCTGCAGATCCTGAGTAACCTGGTGATGGAAGAGCTCCTGCCAACCCTCCAGAAGGATCTTCTGCCTAAAATGAAGGGGAAAAAGAATGACAGGAAGAGGGCCTGGTTCAGTGTAAGTGATTATTTTGTCCTGCAACAGTGCTCCTCCAGTGAACATTCCCTTCTCTTTATAGGGCAGCTTTATTTTATTTTATTTTTTTTTAAAAAATAGTTCCTCGCTGAGTGGAGAACTGTCTACCTTGAGCCTGCTCAGTCTCACTTATATGAGGACTAATCCAAACAGACTCGATGTTTGAGAGAAAAATTAGAATGTGTGTGCAGTGTTGTTTATATTATGATAGTCTGTGATAAACCCTCATCCCTCTACTTGACTCTGTCAGGCGCTTACACACAACAGAGCCCAATTTAGGTGCTATTCCCTGTTGCAGCTCCTCGAGGAGGCCTACAACCTGGTTCAGCTTCAACTTTCAGAAGGATTAAGTGCCTTGAAGGAGGAATGCAGAAGTCTGACGAAGGGCCTGGAAGGAACGATCCGTTCAGACATGGATCAGATTGTGAACTCAAAGAACTTCTTAACTGGAAAGATCAAAGGTCAGTGGAGATAATCCGTGCTCCTACTAATTAACTAAGATGTACATTTGGGGGATCCACTGCATACTTAAGATAAATGGTTTCAGAGGAGAATTAAATTGGGGAAGAAGTGATAACAGCTGTAATAACTAGTATGTCAGAGGTGCTGTCAAGGGCCTGGACCATCTCATGGAATCTTCATGGACATAAGGCAGAGGAAACTTTGTTTCTTGCCTTGTAGTGGTGCTTGTGTGCTCTGATACTGCCTATACTTCCCCCCTGCAGCACTTCTTACACTGAATTGTAATGACCTCTGCCTTTGCCTGGACCCGGGTCTCAGATGTAAGCTCTCAAAGAGCAGAGCCATGGTGCCTTGGTTCACTCAGGTATACCCAGTGTTTCGCACCATGCCCAACATGTACAAGCTCTCAGTGAGCATTTGAGTCAATGAATAAATGGATTTTCCTTCGACAGTAAAGTTCACATTTTTTGGCTTGGAGTCAATACATTTGAATTCTAGCTCCAAATCCAACTGTATCTAGTCATGTGTCCTTGGGCAGGCCACTTGACTTCTCTGTGCCTCCATGTCCTCTTCTGAGAACAGGAGGGTCCACAGATTAGGGTGAGCAAACTATGGCCTGTAGGCCAAATCTGGCCCTCAACTTGTTTTTGTGAATAAAGTTTTATCGGAACATAGCCACACCCATTCATTTCTGTGTTGTCTTTAGCTGCTTTCATGCTAAAATAGCGGTTGAGTAGTTGGAACAGAGACCTTATGGATTGCAAAGCCTCAAATATTCACTATTTGACCCTTGAGAGAGAAAGTTTGCCTATCCCCTCACAAGAGGCCTTAGAAGGCCTCAAAGGAATTCTGCAAGACAAAAATTCTATGGTTCTCCATTCTATCTGGGCACCCTATATTCCGACAAAGCCACTGATACCAAATGTTACTTCAGAGGAAAAGCATGCTGGCTCATCTCGTGATTGTTTATTAGCGATCTTCTTCTATAGTCAGTTCTTAGATTATTCACTTGCTCAGTCACTCTCATTCATTCATTCACAAATATTTACCAAGTGCTTATTGAGTAAGGTGGTGGAACTTCAGCAGTGAATTGGAAAGACTCAGTTCCCATTCTCACGAGACTTACAGTCTAACAGGTGATTGTCTGCTTGGTGGGTTATTCTTTGTAATTCAGGACCTCTTCATACTGCTGCCCAGCTTGCTTCGGGGCTCCTTCTAACAGGTCCTGCCGAAAGGAGACTAGAGGAGGCGTTTGACTACACTAAGGGTGTACATGTCTGTGTATCTGTGTGTGAATGTCTGTTCATGCAGTGCCTTCCCAAGCCAAATATAAATTAACTTCAGAGTGTTTTCTGTCTGCTATTATCCATGTCTAAATCTAGCACAGCGAGGTCTAGAATTGACTATATTGAAAGATTTTATACAAATTAAAACTGTCAACATCTAACTTCTGTGCCAAAACTCCTGTTATCTGGAGCTAAGCTGGGCCTAGCAGTGGCCATTCTTGTGCCCTGAATTAAAGTCCTCTCTTTCTCTCTCTCTCATCTAAAGCTCTAGAGCTCGGGTGTATCCCACATAAGATGGAAAAAGATTCCAGCCCGGACTAGAGTTTGTTTCCTAAAAGAAGCCTTGACAGGAAATAATAGTCAAGTCTTTTTAAAATGAAATACCAGAAATACATTTTAACCAGGCAGGCCTCCATTCTCCACTTTTTATAACAGGAAGTGTACTTCAGTCTACATTGATAAAGGGCTTTGGATTTCCAAAAAAAAACTTTGGGAGTATTAAGAAGTTGTCTCTCTGTTTCTTCCTGTGTGATTCCTGAAAGCAATGGACCTTTTGTGCTACCCCACAATTGTTTATTTATTCAGTAAGCATTATTCTGCTCGGCCTAAGTACAGTGACCCTGAGGATTCAATGAAGATGACGTGATGTTACAAGTAGAGGAGGACGTGGCTCATGTCACAGACATTGAAACAGAAGGAAAAATGTGATAAATGCCCCAAGAGAGACAAGAACGAAGAGCACAATGATTCCCAACCTGGCAGCTGATCCCATTTCAACTTCAGAAAACTCTGTGGGCCCCTCACAATAAGTAATGTTTTAGTGGTTATTGTTTGGAAAAAATGATAATGCCAACAGAATTAAGGAGTACTTCCAGAGTACCACGTATAGTTCTAAGTATTTTCAACATAGTAAATTCTTTGAATCCTCACTACTACCCTGATAGATGCTTTTATTGTCTTGATTTTACAGACAAGAACGAGGCAGAGATTAAGTAACTTGCCCAAATTGCAAAGCTAGTGTGGGGCGGTCAGTCTCAACCCAGTCGCTCTTGCACCAATGCCTTCGTTCTTAATCATTAGGCTCAACTGCTTCTCATCCGCTGCCTTAGCTTCAGGAAGGCTAATGAATTAATGTGTCACAATGCAGTTATTTATCATAACAGCGGCTCCGGAGGCTTGAAAAATAGCAGAGCATACGCGTGTGGGACGTGGAATTAGTACAGTCCATAAGGAAACATCCCGCAGACCACAGCTCAGGAAACACTGGGGTGGTGTCAGGGCGTTAGGCTTTCCCGAGTGGGAGAAGTCTGAACTGCCTCCCTGAGCAGGTCAGCGCGGCAAGCTGCTGCTAAGTCTGCATTGTATGTCACCGATGTTCATGATTATTCTTAAATTTCAATTCCAGTCTGTCCTCATTATTCATGGAGTCTGTATTTGAGAATTTGCCTACTTGCTAATATTTATTTGTAACCTCAAAATCAATACTTGGGTGCTTTCACGTCACTCGCAGACATGCGCATGTGTAGAGCGTCGAAAACTTGAGTTGCCCCGAGTGCAGGTTCCCAGCTGAGCTGGAATAAGGCGCAGCTCTGATGCTTGTTTCAGCGCTCATATTGTAAACGAATGTCCTTTTCGCCGTCTGTTCAGTGCCATGTTCTTCACATTTTTGTGCTCCTTGTTGGTGATTTTGTTGTTTAAATGGCCCCCAAGCAGAGTGCTGAAGTGCTGTCTAGTGTTCCTAAGTACAAGAAGACTGTGACGTGTCTTTAAGGAGAAAATACTTGTGTTGGATAAGCACTGTTCAGGCATGAGTTATAGTGCTGTTGGCTGTGAGTTCAATGTCAGTGAGTCAACAATATATATTAAATAAGGTGTCTTTAAACAAAAACACACATAAAACAAGGTTATGTGTTGACTGGTTGACAAAAATGTTGTGATCAGAGGTTCGCAGAACCTGTTTCTCCTAGGACCGATGGTTCAATATTAGCTAATTCAGTGTTCGTGGTGACTTTATAGAACATAACTGTGGCCAATATCAAGAATCAACTATGCATGTTTTTCAAACAGTTCTTCTCTCAAAGTTAATTAATTTTGGGTGTTCTTTATTCTCCTAGCAAATAATTTGCATTTTGGTATCAAGGAAGCCATTTTAAAAAATTCATAGATTGTTAATATTTGAACCATACAGTTCAAAATCGATTATATTTGAATTGAGCCTCCAAGGTTTTTTTTTTCCCTAATAATTGTATGACTTACTTAAATTTTTCTGTCCCAAATATTTATGAAAGTTGTTCATAATAATAGTATTTGTCATCTCAGAGTCTCAGAATAAGTAAGAGCCAAGTCTGATCGTTCATAACTGTGAAATATCTCTGCAAACTGAGATAAGAATATGGTCAGTCACTTCATCGTAAGCAAGTTACCTGCCAATAATACGGTTAAGAAATACACTTGAATTGTAGTCCTGGTTCTGCAAATCTGGTCAAGTCATCTAACATCTCCGGACCTCCTTTTTTTTCCTTCTGTAAATGGAGGAATTGGGCACCCAGAGGAGTTTGTAGTTCCCTTTTCAGTTCTGAGATACTATGACAAAAGTTATGTGGTGTACCGACACCCACAAAGGTAGTCTTCCAGTTCACAGAGCAGGCTCAGGCCTCCTCCAGCTCAGGCTTCCCTCACAAGACAGCTGGTTCCATACCTGGCTGATCATGAGAATCACTTCTGCACTTAAGATAGAAGTACAGATTTCCATGTCCTACCCTAGACTTACTGATTCAGAATCTTTATTCTGCTGTTCTTCTTCTAAATCAAAGAACAGTATATGCGTCTGGAAAATGGGATTATGGTTAAATTTTTTTTAATCCTTCTTTACAGTTTTCTGTCCTCTCTACATTTTCTTTACTGAGCATGAATTCCTTGATAATCAGGAAAAAAAAATGTTGTTTTTTTATAATTGGAAACAGAGAGGTGATGGATGTAGGGTAGGAGTGGCAAACTAAATGGAATTTGGTTCTGGAGCCTTGCTGGTGCAATGGTTAAGCACTTGACTGCCAACCGAAAGGTCAACGATTCAAACCCACCAGCCCTCTACAGGGAGGAAAGATGTGGCAGTCTGATTTTGTCAAAATTTATAGCCTTGGAAACCGTACGGGGCAGCCTATAGGGTTGCTGTGAGTTGGAATTGACTTGATGGCAGTGGGTTTGGTTTTTTTTTTTTTTTTTTGCCTAAGAAAAGACTGTACTTGATTTTAGGGGGATGGAGTTGTATCAAAATTGATTAGCTCTTAGGAAAATTAATTAAAAATAATTGTTTTTTTAGAAGACAAACTATATGTATACGGTATAATGATGGTGATTTATATAGATATGTAAGGCACCAGAATTCCTCCTTTGTTTTAGACGTTGCATGTTTGTAGGGACCAAGCAGAAAAACATGTCTCATCCCAGAGCAGAGGTCAGCTTGGGAAGGGGAGAGGTTCTGTTTGTTTCAGTTCTCAAAGCGTCTGAAGGCTTTCCATTCTGGTGAGTACTGGCACATCATCTGAGCTTGCCTAGCCTGTTAAATGGCTCAGTGGGGCACCCTCCAGTGCTGGCCTGGCTCTAGTGCCCCTGAATCCAATTTTGCTCTAAGTCACAGTTTTCTGGCTATTTCCTACTTCAGCTATGGTGGCCCAGCCTGTGGAGAGAAGCTGTGCGGAGAGTGTGCAACCATTCTTGGCATCCATTCTGGAGGAGCTCATGGGACCTGTGAGCTCAGGATTCAGTGAAGTTCGCTCACTCTTTGAAAAAGAAGTGGATGAGCTCAGCCAGAGCTTTCAGACCGCTAGAGACAGTGCCCAGCTAAAGGAGGTAAGATAAGAAGCCCAGGAGCTGAGTGTGAATGGTCTGCATAAGGCTGCCTTCTCCATAGGCTTCATCTGCCATCCATCATCGATACAACCATCCATCCATCTACCCATCTATCATCTCTCCCTCCCTCCCTCCTTTACACCCATTCATCTAGCCTTCTATCCATTCATCTGTTCTTCCATCCATCTAGCCTTCATTCCATCTATCCAGCTGCCCCATTCATCCATCCAACTATTCATCCATCCCATCCATTCATCTCTCTATTCACCCATCCATCCACCTGATTTTTTTATTGATGGTTTTCAAGTTACAAAAGTAACATACTTGAAAGAAGTGAAACAATATACTCAAGTCTATGTATAGGTAAAACTAATCACCATCACCCATACCTACCTGATCTAGTCAATTCCCAACTCTTAGGTCACCTCCACTCCCAGCTCTCTGAATTAACTAATATAAATAGTTTGGTATGTGTTTTCCTATACTTTCGCCTTGTGCATACAGATATACAAGCATATATCCTCATTTATAGAAGTTTTGTTTGTTGGTTTGTTTATTTTCAAAAGTACAGATTCATGTCACAGACCAGCATCAGCATCACTTGATTTTTAAAAATGAAAGTTTTCAGGCCCCACTCCAGACTTACTGATTTTGAAACTCTGATGGTAGAGGAGGCAGCAGCAAAGTGTGTTTTAACAAGATCTCCAGGGGATTCGGATGCACCCTAATGTTTGAGAACCACTGACAGAGACATAACCTGGCAACTTGTTTTTACGCTTAACAAATCATGATGGACATCCCAGACACCTCTGCTTCATTTCCTTTCTTACTTTATGCAGACATACATGTATAAGTGTACGTAAGCAAAGATCATTTCTTCTTGCAGCCTTTTTTTCCCTCAAGTAAGTAGTGTTAACAACCTAGCTTTCTATACTTTTTTCTTCATGCTTACATAGTATATAAGACACACACATATTTATAGATTGCTTCTTAGATTGCTCTTTAAAAAATGGGATTATACTATATATACTATTCTTCTTACCACTTTTCTCATTCAAAAACACATCATGAAACCATCTCTAACTGGTCTAGCTCTAAATCTTTCTTTATAATGGCTGCATAATTTTTCATGTATGAATGCACCATGATTTATTCAACCATTCCACTCTTGCTGGCACCATGAAAGCTGCAATAAATAACCTTATACACTGATGCTTTTATTTTCATGGCATAGATTCCTAGAACATGGTTGATAAATTGAAAAGTAGCTATATTTCTAATGTTAACAAATGTCTCATTTTTGTCCCAAAAATGGATTTAAATTTTAAATAAATTTCCACCACTAGTGTTTGGCTTTCTCCCCACATACCCATCAGCAATAGGGTGTTATCACTTGTTTAAAGTCTCACCAGTCTAATAGGAACAAAGTAGTAACCCATTTTTACTCCTTTACCTGTTTAATTCTTTTGTTACTTACCGTGTGACAAGGAGTAAGTTCAACAGCATGCTTTCAATCATTAATTCCATTTCAATGAAACCCTCCATAACTCACTCTTTAACCAGCCAACCCAATTGCCACTGAGTCAGTTCCAACTCCTGGCCACCCCATATGTGTCAGAGTAGAACCTGTGCTTCATATGGTTTTTAATGGCTGATTTTTTGGAAGTAGATCTCTAGTCCTTTCTTCTCAAGTGCTTCCGAGTGGACTCGAATGTCACGCTTTCGGTTAGCAGCCAAGTACATTAACCATTTGCACCACCCAGGGTATTTTCCTTTAGAAGCACAATGAAAATCGATTATTTTAAGATTCCTGTGTGTGTTTAGAGAAATTAAGATTTATCCCTTTTCTGTGATCTGAGACTCAGACAGTGCATCCTATATTACCTGTTCTCTTTTCCTCACCTTGCCCTCCCAGTTCTTAGAGTGGGGAGCCTCTCCCTAGAGCCTCCATTTTCAGCACCTTTCACTCTCTTTCCTCTCCACTCACTCTTCTGTTTATTTTAAATCCCAAATATTTAATTTTTAAAATTGTGTTTATAGACAAGCTTGGAAAATAGCATGTATTTTGTTTGCAACAATCTTCCTAGTTCATGGATCACACTGGAGCTTTAGTGGATGAAGCCTGGCACTGTCCTTTTGCTGAAGCCCTATGATCTCATCAATTAAGTCATCACTTGTGCAAACTAGAGTAGAAGGGGCCCCAGGTTTTTTTTTTTTTTTTTTGCAGTTTTATAATTTTATTTGACACTCAGCTATTAGTTTTCATCCACATTAACTGTCTGTAGATTTTTGGAAGTGGTGACAGGAACATACGTAACCAATGTACAGAGCTTGTTTGGTGAGTCTTCATCCTCATTACATTTTTCTGGACAGCCGGACACGGATTCAGGATGGGACATTGCTTATGCCTTTGGCCCAGATGGCTTTGTTGAGCCTGGTGTCAATGCGCACATGTGGGGTTCCCATCTCCTTCATGGCAAATTTCCAGATCTTCTTGAGTGCCTGAGGTGCACGCTTCTTGAAGCCCACACCATGGATGCGCTTGTGAATGTTGTTGTTGTACTCTCTGGTCACCACTTCGTTGATGGCAGAGCGGCCCTTGTCGCCACCCTTCTTTGCGGGAGCCATACTGCCGGGACCAGGTTGGAAAGGGGACCCCAGTTTTTAAAGCTAACTCCCTCTCCCCAGTCAGGCCTTAGCCGCCATCCCACCCATTAGTGCCACAGAGCAACCTACAGCAAAGGGAAGCCTTGGTGGCACTGAAGAGCCTCAGAATTGTGGGGTACTCTGACTTGTCATCCAGAGAACATAAGTCCAGGAGGCACCCCAACCTCCCAGGGATTTTTTTAGAGGGATGTCACTCATTCAAGAAGACTCTTGAGGCTCATGGGCCCAACAGCATTTCCACGTACCAAAGAACCTACCTGCCTGCTCGCTCATTAAGCTGTACATGCGGGGAGCTTGGAGTCTTTATCAAGAGCTTAGAAGACTGGAGCCCTCCTGAGTGTACCCCTGGATTTTCCCATCACCCAGTTGGTATCTTCCACCAATCAGTCTCTTTCCTAGCAATAAAGCTGCCCCACAGACAGAGAGAAACAAGACAATCAAAAAGGTCACAGATGTCCCGATCCAGTTAGCGATTCTCTGTAATAATGTTCATTTGATTGTTTAGAATTTTGTGTATGTAATATTGTTCCTAAATCTGAAAGTGTTTAATTTTTCTCTTCACCAAAATGCAGCATCTAGACCAGCTTATGAATCTTCCGCTGGATTCCGTGAAGATGGAACCTTGTTATATTAAAGTCAACCTGCTTCAAGAGCGCCTGCAGGATCTCAGGAGCCGCTTCAGATTCCCCCACGTGGACCTGGTGGTCCAGAGGACCCAGAACTGCATGCAAGAGGTAGGAGCAGGAGGGTCATCCATGTGAATGAGGATGAAGCAAGAGTCAAGAAATAAGGAGCTGACAAATGAGACCATATGCTAGTGTAGCTGAGGGAAATAAAGTGCTTGTCTGTAGTCATTGTGTTGGGTGAGGACATATTTTATCTGTAGAGCTGCCTTCATCTTCTAAGTTGATGACCATCATACCCAAACCCAGACCCTTTGCCAGAAAGTTGATTCTGACTCATAGCAACCTTATAAGACAGGGTAGAACTGCCCCATAGGGTTTCCAAGGTTGTAAATCTTTACGGAAGCAGACTGCCACATTTTTCTCCCGTGGAGCGGCTGGTGGGTTTGAGCTGCTGACCTTTCAGTTAGCAGCTAAGCGCTTAACCACACCACCGGGGCTCCTAATGAGCATCATGGAGAAGAAATATCTCGGAGAAATAGAGTAGCATTACTTGATAATTACTTAATTTGTCAGATTAGTGCTTTAACCTTGGCTGCACATTAGGATCACCTGGGGAGCTGTTAAAAAATACTGATGTGTAGGCCCCACCTTCAGTGATTGATTCTGTCCTTGGTAATTTCTTTGAAGTGCTCTCCCACGCCCACCCTCTTTCCACTGCTTCTAGTATGTAGCCAAGGTTGAGAAACACTGGCTTAATGTCCTAACCCAGTTAAGAGTAAAAATATCGTAATATGTAACAGCTTCACAACTCTCGTGTTTGAGTTTCTTGAGTCTACTCAGTCGGCTCCCCCTTTTTCCCACAAAGAACTTTTCCGCTAGGAACGGGAATGAATAGCACAAACTCTTTTCCATATTATAGTGCTTTCCAAATAAATGGAGAGCGTGATCCTTGGAGCTTGGAGGAGACAATTCTATTCAGCAGTCTGGGACAGCTTCCTGTGGGCCAGACCCTTCAGGAATCCCACTCCAGAGAGTTTATAGTGAGATAAATTCTTAGATAAATTCACTGTGGTGTTGAAAGTCCTGTGATAAAGCTATGTATTGGATGCTTTGGGATCATAAGCTTAGGGAAGAAAGCAGGGCTTTTTTTCCCCCTTAATAGTGGTGGGCAGGATTAAGAGATAAGTCTTATTATCTAACCACTGAGGGGGATGAGGTAGGTAGTTAAAATCTACCGGCCACTCCTTGGAAACCCTATGGGGCAGTTCTACTCTGTCCTCTGTTGTTTGTGTTTTTTTTTTGAGGGGGGATGAAAGAAGGACCAGGAAGAAAACTGGGCAACAGTTTAACAAAAGTCCCTTTGATAATACGGGACCCTGCTGGAATTGCTAGAGGTACAAATGCAGAGAATAAGAAATATAACTACTTCTGTTTTTTAACCAATGAACATTTTAGCCCAGGCTTGCAGAGAAAGAAAGAGCAGTGAGGTGGGAGGATGCAGAGTGGAGAAAGAGATGTGTTGCCGAGTGGTTTGTGTGTACCTGGAAGCGGAGCTGCAGAACTGAAGCAGCCAAAGAGTAGTTGGAGAAGGCTCCCACCTCATCCCTTTAAGACCTGGCTGCGGATACCAGAGAATGGAAGACGAGGAATGAGCTTCTCAATCCCATGATCTTGGGTTCTCCAGTTCAGGGCCAGCGGAGCAAAAACAAGGGGAAAAACATACATGCATGCACACACACACACACACACATCTAGCACAGATCCCACCCTCTCACAGATCCCTCTCTAGCCATGTGGCAATTTACCTCACAGCCCAGGTGTAGGATAAGGACCTGTTGCTCTGGGTCACCCCTGGAGGAGTGCCTGGGGGAACCCAACTCTGGTGCTTTACCCCTTCTCCTTGCAAATAGTTTTAGACAGACCTGGGGACAGTGATCCCAGCCTCTGACTGTGGTCTGCCTCTGTGTTGCTTTTGGTTTCTAGCTGATGGAAAATGCAGTATTCACATTTGAGCAATTGCTCTCCCCACATCTTCAAGGAGAGGCCTCCAAAACTGCAGTCTGCATTGAGAAGGTTAAGCTTCGAGTCTTAAAGGTAAAACCAACCGTTCTCTCATTTCTGGGAAACGTAAAAGGGGAATGGGACCCCTATTTCTTTTAAGTGAAAAATATCATGTTCTCCTTTTTCATTCCAATCTTTCCTCCCTCCTTTCTGAGGTACCAGTGACTAAAATCAAGCAGCAGTTTTTCCAGCATGATTTTTCATGCCTTTTCTGCCATCTAGTGGCCACTTTAGGGACTACAGGTCCTCAGCACCATTGCCTATCAGCGAGAAGTAACGAATCCCAGCTTACTTTCATAGCGATTGGACTTGACCGACACTTATTGACTATCCACTGTAAGCAAAGCATTGTGATAGGTGTTACATGGGATTAAAAAAAATAGGCAAGGCACAGCCTGTTTCTTCAAAGGGTTGAAACCCCGTTGCCGATTCCGACTCATAACAACCCAATGGGACAGAGTAGAACTGCCCCATAGGGTTTCCAAAGCTGTAAATCTTTATGGGAGCAGACTGCCACATCTTTCTCCCTGTGGAGTGAATGTAAAATATAGTAAAATAAATCTAAATTTTCCAATATTTCTTAGAAAAATCAAAATCTTATGACAAAGGAAATATTCCAAGGACAAGATACTTGCCATGTAAAATTGTTTTAAATGTGCTCCATGTATAAATATTTATCAAAATGGCCATAATAGAAGCTAGTACATGTTGTTGTTAGTTGCCATTGAGTTGGCTCCGACCCTGGCGACCTTACGTATAACAGAACGAAACATTGCCTGGTCCTGTGCCACCTTCATGATCTTGGATATATTTGAGCCATTGTTGAGGCTATTATGTCAGTCCATCTCAGTGAGGGTTTTCCTCATTTTCACTGACCCTCTATCAAATATACTAGGACATATATGATATATTATTTAAAAAATTTTTAAAGCTTTTTAAGCTACTGTTTCATTTTATCCTCCCAAGAACTGTGAGATAAATAGAATGTGTCTCCATTCTACAAGTGAGGAAATTGACTCTCTGAAAGCTAAAGTGATTTATTTAAGCTCAACAGGCTGGTCAATGGTGAGCTTAGAGCTAAAACTATCCTTGTACATAGACCACTAATTTTTTGCTCTAGGATCAGGCAGTATTTAGTTCTGTTATACGTGAGGATGCTGTGTGTAGAAGCCAAGCAAACAGCAACTAACAACAACGAACTTCCTCAAAACAGTGCTTTGTAGCAGGAGATCAAAGCCCACAGAGCCTAAGGGTGGTCCCTGGATCTCAGACTTGATCTGGATGCCTCACAGGCAGGACAAACTCTGGCAACCAAACCATTGGGGTTCAAAGCAGTATTTATCATGGCAACATAAATGATAACGAAGTTACAATGGAGTTGAAAGAAAAGATAGTGTCAGTATCAAGTGCTTCAGCACCGAACGAGAGGAAGAAAACAAGTGGAAAGGTGTTCGGATGTGAAGACCTCAGGTTAGAAAGGCACTTAGAGTGCCTCTAGTTCAGCTTCACATCCAGTCTTAAGGTGCATCCCCGCCAGAGGTGGTATAGCTTATGTTTGGACATCTCCAGTGTCAGGACGCTTTCTGCTTCTCAGAATAGCCCATCTCACCTCTGAACGCTCTTCTCTGAAAGAACTTGCTTCTTTATGTTAGGCCAAAGTTCTTGTCACTGGTAATTTGTTTATATGCTTCTTTCACATGGTAGCCTTTGGTTGTTTGAATGGAGCTATAATTTTGCCCCAAGTTATTGTCTCCAGTGTAAATGCCTTCATGTCTTTACCCATTCCTCATTTGGACTGGCCATTCTGCTCACACCCCTGTGACTGGGTTCCAGTTTGTCTGTGATCCCCTTAAAGAGACGTCTAAAGATCAAATAATGGTCTCTAGGTTTGGATGTTCAGCCCATACCAGAGTAAATATCATCTTTCTGTTCTAGATGCTAAACTTCTTTGGTTAACATGTCACATTCTTGGTGGAGCTATGAGCCAGGCCCTCTCTTCCTTTCAGGAAGTCATTATATCACACTGATCCTGCTTTCAGGATGAGAGTGAACAAAGTAGATGATCGTGCACATACACATATTGGAGGTGATGAGGTACAAACTCCAGCCTCAGTTCTGTCCCCGGCTTTCTTTATAACAAAGAGGTCACTCTGCTTTAATCTTGCATGAGTTCCTGTATCATAAGAAGGGGAGGTGAAATTGGTCATTATCAGTGTTAACCTCCACCTGCAGTGAGAGAATGACATAGAAAGATCCCTGAGACCTTGGAAAACAAACATCAGAAGAGTCCTCAGAAACTAGAGGAAAAAAGAGAGAGATGAAGTGGGTGGCTGAGTTTTTAAGCAAAAGTTAACAGATTGTAATGTTGCTATTTAGCGTATGTTTCTGTCTTTGTATTGACAGCAATATGACTATGACAGCAGCACCAACCGGAAGAAGATATTTCAAGAGGCTCTGGTTCAGATCACACTTCCCACCGTGCAGAAAGCACTGGCGTCCACGTGTAAACCAGTAAGGAGATGGGCTACTCTAAAGAGCCTGTTCTTATTGCCTGTGAAGCGCCAGCAAGTTCTTTTGCTGTGATGTGCTTTAATCAGTAGACTAGTCCAGCATACTTTTCCTGTTAAAGGTCAGAGAGTAAATATTTTAGGCTTAGCAGGCCGTAGAGTCTGTATTCACAACTACTCAACTCTGCAGTTGTAGCAGGAAAGCAGCCACAGGATAATATGGAACAAATATATAATCAAGACAGACAAATGAGCATGGCTGTGTTCCAATAAAACTTTCTTTGCAGAAACAAGCAGCTGGCCAAATTTGCCAAACCCTAGACTATACATGATCTCAAAGCATAATGCTGAGTTTGAGTCAAGCTAAGAGTTGCCATAGAACACTGAAGATACCAGGTGTTCATAATAGAATGACTCATAGGTCCAGTGTATCCTCCAAAACTTAACCACTACATCCAGGAGAACATCTTAAGATGATTACAGAAGGATGCTACTAGGATATTTGTCTTGTTAAAACAAATAAACAAAAACCCAACCCTGTTGCCGTCAAGTCAGTTGAGTAGAACTGCCCCATAGGGTTTCCAAGCCTGTAATCTTTACAGGAGCACATCTATCTCCTGAGGAGCGGCTAGTGGGTTTGAACCGCCAACCTTTCAGTTAGCAGCTGAGCGTTTAACCACTGCGTTATTGTCTTGTTAAATCCAGTAATATTTGTTTAGTAAAATCAGTGAAACTAATCTGCTGCAAAAATCAGACAACCAATGGCAGCCATAATTAGGAAAGTGTGACTTAGTCTGCAGAGCAGACTCTGGGCAAGGAGACTCTGGAGGCAGAGATCTGGGTTTAAGCCCTGGCTCCTGCATGCATCTGGCTAGGAGCCTCGGGCAAGTCATTTTTCTTCTCTCAGCCTACGTTTTACCTACTGTAAGATGGACATAATAGTAATTTGCAGTATCTTTCTTAAGATGAAGAGAGAACTGTTGTTGTTAGTTGCCGTTGAGTCAATTCCGACTCATGGTGACCTCATGTGTGCAGTGTAGAAGTGCTCCATAGGGTTTTCAGGGCTGTGACCTTTTGAAAGCAGATCACCAGGCCTTTCTTCCAGGTGCCTCTGGGCGAGTTTGACCGTCAACCTTTTAGCTAGTAGTTGAGGGCTTAACCATTTGCACCACTGAGGGACTCCTAAGAGAGAGGACTAGAATGATAGAATTAATATTTGTTGAGTGCTTACCATGTGCAAGGCACTGTGTTAAACACTAGTGTGAATTATCTCAATAACTCTATGACATCTCTATGAGGAGGTACTGTTAATATCCTCATTGTACAAATGAGGAAACTGAGGGGTTAAAGTCACAGAGCTGGAAACCACCAGCCGTAGAAACCAGCTCGTACTCACCTGTCACATGGTAATCACACAGTAAGTGGTCTATTATTAATTATTATTGCTACTACTACTACTACTTCTACATTTCAGAAATCATCTATGAGCCTGAACATTTGCAAGTTCTGCTCCCTCTTGGAGCAAATGATGAAGAGCTTTTTAGAATTTATAAAGGGCTTTTTGGCAGTTTGGAAAGTCTCCAAGCATTGGAACGTTAAAACCCTTTGCATGAGTTATTTTTCTTCAGATAGTCACAGGCATATCTAAGCTCTACCCATTGCCGTTGAGTTGATTCTGACTCATAGCGACCCTTATAGGACAGAGTAGAACTGCCCCCATAAGGTTTTCAAGGCTGTAATCTTTACAGGAGCAGACTGCCACATCTGTCTCCCAAAGAGTGGCTGGTGGGTTTGAACCGCCAACCTTTCAGGTAGCAGCTGAGTGTTTAACCACTGTGTCGTTGTCTTGTTAAATCCAGTAATATTTGTTTAGTAAAATCAATGAAACTATTTAATCTGCTGCAAAAATCACACATCCAGTGGCAGCCATAATTAGGAAAGTGTGATTTACTCTGCAGCTCAAACCTTCAACCTTGCAGTTAGCAGCTGAGCACTTAACCCCTGAGCCACCAGGGCTCCGTACAGGCATATCTAGTACCTGGCTTTTATTTCTAGGTGTATATTTCTTTAATAGAAAAGGATTTGACAAGCCAAAGGAGTAAAAAATTGGTCTATACGATTGTCCTTTGGCCTTAGGTGGATAGAAAAAGTTCAGCAGTGCAAACGATGTCTCAGTCGACCTCTGGATATATGTGGCTTGCAGATGTTCTGCTTCAAGAGTTTTTCTATTTCAATCCCAAAAATGGTTTGGGGACCTCACAATACCTTGTGGTGCAGTGAATTGCTTAATATGGCCCTTCTAACCATGCATGGTCTTGTAACTCCCACAAAATGATTGGGTGGGACTATGCAAATAAAGTGTTTGTGGCCCACCAAGGGGATTGAACAGACTGCTAATAATGCAAATAAGGTATATGGAACCCTAACAAGGGGATTGGTCAGTTTTGCCATCCCACTAGGCTTAGGATGAGCCATCCCAGAGGTGGGAAGGGGGCAACTTCACTACCATCAAGAAAGAAGAGCCGGGAGTGGAGTGTGTCCTTTGGACCTGGGGTCTCTATGCTGAGAACCTCCTAGAACCAGGAGACAGAGAGAGAGAGCTGTAACTCAGCAGATGATGTGAGACCCTGAGAAGCAGCAGCAGAGAAACGGGGCAGCAGAACCAGGAACCCGGTGCAAGATAGTGTGGTGGGCTTCCTGGCCCACAGAGAGACAGAACTGAGAGCCTTCAAACAGGAGGTTTCCTGGTGGAGTGGGGTGTCTCTTGGCACTTATTGGCAGAGCTAAAAAGCTTTGTAACACTTTCCTGAGCAGGACAGAGGCCAGGCCCAAGTGGGGCTGAAGGCCTAGAAAGAAGGCTTGTCCTGAGGGGCCCAAGAGGAACCTGTCGTTAGGGGGCCGGGAGGAGCCTATCCTCAGGGGGCTGAGAGGAGCCCTGCATGGCTGAGAGGAGCTGAGAGAGCTGTCCTGCACTGAAGAAGGGAAACTCTGCCTACATACTTCCTAATCCTGATCCCAGGTTGTAGCCTGTTGATCCTGATCCTGAGTTGTAACCTATTACTTCCCTAATGAACCCATAATCGTTAATACAGTCTGTGAGTTCTGTGTGGACATTGTAATGAATTATCAAACCCATCAGAGAAGTAGAGAGTGCTGTGGGAGGTACAGCTGGTGTCAGAATTGGTAAAAAGGTTGGAGGGTGGAGGTGTGTCTGCCCTCCACCTCATAGGAATCCGCCTTGGGCTGAATCATCAGATTCTCCCCTCTCATGAAGTTAGACGAGGAGGTTCTATGCCACCACACCATTTTTACACACCTCCTTCCCAGTGAGGAGAGGGATGAGGAAGGTCCTCTCCTTCTAGTCTGCTCTCGTCTTTCCATGAATCAGCAGAATGAGTTGTGCTCCATCTATAAGAGGCTCTTGTAATTTAATCAACAGAGACTGGTTTCAAAAGAGCCTGTAACCCAGAGTTCTCAGTAGTGAAGGGTATTGTATCAGTGCCAAGAGATTTTTAAAAATCACGATTTACAGACTAGATAAATTAGGGGATTATCTGTGTCGTAGAAGGATTCGTTATTTTACTGAATTGTTTTCCCCTGAGTTCTTAAAGTAGCAGCTTTCTAGACCTGTGCTTCTCAATCCTAGCTGCACTTTAGAATTGCCTGCAGAGCTTTAAAAAAAATTCGGATTCCCCAGGACTCACCCTTAGAAATTTCGATTTAGTTGGTCCAGGGCATCAAAAATATGATACAATTCAAACGGTTCAGTATAGAAGAGCTGTTTTGTAAAGTTGGGCACATCACAACAGTGTGAATGACCCTAGAAATTATTCCTTTCCACAGAATTATTTAGTGGGTCCAAATTCCAAAGGTCTACTGTTTTATTTAGTCAGCAAATGAGTATTAAATATGTATCAAATATGATCCAGGCACTGTGCCAGACAGGTGTCCTGCTGTTTTGGAGTTCACAGTCTAGTGGCAGGATCAGATACATTCTGCCATGTGGTGAGCAAGCACTACAGTAGCATGGGGCAGAGTCCTGAGGCGGCTTGCCTCAACTCGGCTATGGGGTAGGGGAGGACTTCCCAAAGTCATGCCTTGACCCAGTCCTGAAGAATGAATAACAATCCGGAGAATAAGGAGTGGGAATCACATAGGGAAGATGAAGGGGTCTCCCAGGCCTGAGATGGAGGCACAGAGCAGTGACATGGCTTGCTCAGGGTCACACAGCTGATCCAAGGCAGTGCTGCACCTCCTCAGCAGTGCTGTTTCCATACTGTACTAACCTTTGTGTCAGTCCTGTCTCACAGACCTTCTAGGGGTTGTTGAGACTCACACCTCTTCAACTCTTTAGTTTATTTCTGGGGTGGGTATAAAAGGACGCCATTGCTGGCTGCTGTGATCTGGTCCTGGGCTACAGCGCCCCCAAGTTCTAGCACTGAGAGTTACCTGGCTGTGGTGCTTCTGATCACCTGCTATTAATCCTGTCCTTCCAGGCCAAAGGCATCAGATCCCACTGCTAAGCCCCTGGCCCTCTAATAGCCACATGTGGGGAACCCTCCCCTAGCACCCTCAGGTGCCAGGATTACCCAGTTAATCACTGGATACGATTTGGTACATTTTGACCCTGCTCCATCCTCATGCTGATAACAGGCAAGCCATTTGGGAACCCTTGGAAGGCAGGGAGGGTTAAGGGATTTTGCATCGTGTTTGGACTGTCTTAAAGGGAATCCGTGAGTGTCAGGGCCAGTTGGAGGGAAAGAGAATGTTCCCAAAGAGTCTTTGATTCTCCCAACCTAAAAAAGGGCCTCATTCTAGTAAAGTTAAATATACACCTACCCTATGACCTACCCTCTGACTCCTATGTATATACCCAAGATAAGTGATTCCTTAAGTCCACAAGCAAACATGTACAAGAATGTTCATAGCAGCTATATTTATAATGGCCAATAAATGTAAACATCTCAATGCCCATCATCAGAAGAATGGATAAAGAACTTGGGTTTATCCAGATAATGAATGCCGTTTAATGAATGAGCTACTGATACATACATCAGCATTGATGAATCTCAAAAGGAGACACAAAAGAACATACGATTCCATGTATATAAAGTTCAAGAACAAGTGAAAACTGTTGGGATAGAAATCAGAACAGTTCTTATCTCTTTTCAGACTGGGAAAGGGCATGGGAGAACTTTAGGGGATGATGAAAATGTTTCTCTCTTGATCTGGATGGTGGCTAGATGGATATATTTATATATTTAAAGTTATTGAGTTGTACTTTTAAAATTTGTATATTTTGCTCTATGTAACTTGTACCTCAGTAAAATACTGTTGGTACATTGGAAAAAAAGCAGGACAGACCCCCCCGACAAGGCCTTGGGGTGATCAAAATCTTCAGTGTCTTCTCCATGAAGGTGCATAGACATGTGGTCAGTACAAAGAATGGTGTAGGGAAGGGACCTACCAGTGTACCGGTCCAAGCCCTCTCCTGGACAGTTGATAGAAGATGTGTCGAGGTCATACATGGTGCTTAGTGCAGTGGATTGTATCAAATGGGAACCCAATAAAATATCTTTGAATTGAGTCATTTTTTAAACACCTTTTCCTGGGGGCCAACATTGACCTGCTCCCACGCACTCCCAGGGGAGGATCGTGAGTAGGAGTTGTCCTTTGCGTATCTCTTCCAAGAACAGTCATCTCATGCCTTTTTCTCTTTATCTTTCGTTCTCCAGGAGCTTCAGAAATATGAGCAGTTCATCTTTGCAGATCATACCAATATGATCCAGGTTGAAAATGTCTATGAGGAAATTTTATATCAGACTCTCCTTGATGAAACTCTGAAAGGTAAGGAAGGTTTGCCTGGTGCTGGTGGCAGTCTGCTTCTGTAAAGATTATAGCCTTGGAAACCCTCTGGGGCAGTTCTACTCTGTCCTATAGGGTTGCTATGAGTCGGAATCAGCTCGATGGTAATAGGAGAGGGAAAACTTTAGATAGAGGGTAGTACCCGTGAAATGGGACTCAGTCAGGCCAGCTGCATTTATCAACAGATAAGAAAGGAGAGGAGGAAATTGACATTGGTGTGCTAGGGAGACAGAAGATACTAGCATTGAGTATTCATGATTTCGTACACACTATGCTGGCCCTTTAGATATTATTTTTTCTTTTAATACAAATAATAACTCTGTGAGATGGGAGCTCGAGGCTTCATCTTTCAGAAGAGGAAACTAAGGCTTAGCAAGATTAAGCTCTGGGTCACTTAGCAGGTAAGTGGTCGAGCTGAGATTCAGCTGTCTTCCTCCCACTGTTGCAGACAGAACAAGGGCAAAAAGCTCTTCATAGCTATGGCTTATGACCCCTCCCAGAGCCAAGAGGAGGTGATTCTGGGAGCAGGGCTGACCAGCTGCTCTCTCAGCACATTCTCCACTCCACACAGCTGGACAGAAAAGATAGGGCGATGACGCAGTATCCTGCGGCCTTGTTAGGACTCTGGCCCCACTGTCCTGTGAGTCAGGCCTGGCTTGGAATAAACCAAAAAACTAAACCCATTGCCATCGAGTTCATTCTGACTCATAGCAACCCTACAGAACAGAGTAGAACTGCCCCACAGACTTTCCAAGGAGCTCCTGGTGGATTCCAACTGCTAATCTTTTGATAAGCAGCCTAGCACTTAACCACTATGCCACCAGGTTTTCCTGGCTTGGGATAGGAAAACTTTAATAGGAACATCCTCAATAGGGCCACCCATCAAAGTGTAGGCCTGAAACATATCTGATCTCTGTGCAGAAGGTCTCGAGTATCACAAAAACCCGTCCACCAAGAAAACCAGCCAAGCACACAAGCCCCAGCTCACAGTAACTAATCATAGAGAGTCCAGTGAGGTAGGAATGTATAAGTGTCTGCAAAGAGGAAGGGCTCCATCGGGGTCACCAGCAGCCTGGACGGTACGTTTGGGTGAATTCAAACAGATTCCCTTCCTCCAGACACTTTACTGTCCTCTGTTGGAAAATAGTCACAATATACTCATTTTGTTAGAACAGGATACTCTACTGCTAACTACCAGAAAATTATGAGACTGACTACACAGATCTGTGCTCTCTGTAACATGAACGGCACTCCCTTGGATGTGATGGTGTTGCAGTTTCTACATCTGCACAGCCATAAACCAAGGCCTGCAGCCAAACATGTCAGTTGTGCTGTGATTGCTACTGTTATTGTTATTGCTCCTCCCAAGGCCTTTGAGGCTGAGCTAGTGTATATAGATCTTCATTAGGCTACAGGTCAACCAGGCAGTCTCGTCTGCACACTCGGGACTGAGTAGCTCTCTACACATTCAGGACTGCCCTAGACCCTGTGAGGAGAAGCAGAGATGTTTAATCCCTGCCTCTGCCCTAGAGGAGTTTCAGTCAAACTGTAGGGCAATCTGGAGCCTCGTGTATTAGCAACTAGTACAATGTGATGGGGGCTTCCATGAGCTATACAGATGATACTATTCTAGACCGTGAGCGCTTTGAAAGCAGAGGCTGTATTTTGTTCATCTCTGGATTTCCACTGCCTGTTGTTGTTATTGGGTGCCATCAAGGTGATTCTGACTCATAGCAACACTGTAGGACAGGGTAAAACTGCCCCATAGGGTTTCCTAGGCTGAAATCTTTATGGGATCAGATCACCAGCTCATTTCTTCCACAGAGCTGCTGGTGGTTTTAAACCACCGACCTTTTGGTTAGCAGCTGAGCACTTAACCATTGTGCCCCAGGGTTGCCTAGCCTATAGTAAACCAGTTGACTCTGACTCATGGTGACCATAGAACTGTGCACCATAGGGTTTTCAATGGCTGATTTTTCAGAAGTAGATTGCCAGGCCTTTCTTCCAAGGTGCCTCTGGGTGAACTCAAACCTCCAACCTTTTGGTTAGCTGCCAAGTGCATTAACTGCACCACCCAGGGACTCTGAGCCCATAGTAATGCCCAGCAAATATTTACTGGTTGAATAAATGAATGAATGAATGAATGCTACAGAGATTCAGCATTTGGAAAAAGTTTGCAGGCTTCAGTGGTCAGGGAAATCTCCAAGAAAGAGGGCAGGAGTAAGATGAGACTTGAGATTGAGAAATAGCTAAAGAAGCTGAGAGGGGTTTGGCCTCTGGAAAAAATCAGACAATCCAGGCTGGCCACAGCAGAGTGTTCACGTCATGTTTTGTTTTGTGGTCTCTCTTAGTGATAAAGGAAGCTGCCGTCCTGAAGAAACACAACTTATTTGAAGACAACGTAACCTTGCCCAGTGAAAGTGTGTCCAGCTTAACTGATCTAAAAACCCCCACAGGGTCAAACCAGGCCAGCCCTGCCAGGAGAGCCTCTGCTGTTCTGCCAGGAGTTCTGGACAGTGAGTCCCTGGGTAACGAAGTGTTCCAGGAGCCAGAGGAAGAGCAGCAGCCTGGGGCCCCTAGTCCATTGGCTGAAGAGGAAAGCACATCTCTCCCTGTTTCCAGCCCTCCCTCAGCTGGGGATGGGCAGGTGGTTGTTTCAAGCATCAGTGGCCCTGGGAATCTTGTGGCTACAGAGGACAAGACAGAAACCTTGGACAAAAATTCAGCAGAGCTGGAGTTTGGAGAGATTCCTGAGGAAGAAGACCCCGCTCATGAAGAGCCAGAATCCGTCTCTGCCTCCGGCTCTTTGAAAGAGCTCAGAAAATTGTTGACGGTGACAGTTGAAGTACCGGTGGAGTCTGCCGTAGTGATTGAAAAAGATATACCAGAGGAGACCCTTTTGCCCCAAGAAGATGAAAAAGAAGAAGAAAAACCCCAAATCTACACAGAAGCCCATGAGGTAGCTGCCTCCCATCAGGATCATTGTGAAGAGGATGAAGTCAACGAGAGGGAAGCCCATCTTTCCTCCACAGAGGCCAGTGGGATGGAATGGGGGAGCTTTCCAGAGGCAAGCGGCTCTGCTCCTGAGCCAGCCTGTGGAAGGCTCACCGAGGGGGCCAGCTGCCCAGGCCCCACAGGTGAGCAAATGGAGGCTGGGGAGCTCCCTGAGAGGGCTTCCAAACTATTCCACGAAGAAGGAGGGGCCCAGTGTGCCCTGGAGGGTGAGGCCAGTGCAGGAGAAGATTGCATCTTAAGTTCTGACCATGTCCACCCTAGTGAGAGCCAGGTTTCTGAAGAAATGATGGAAGGGAAAATCAGCACTGGCCAGCGCGAGGTCAGCGTGGATACAGAGGCGAGTAAGGTTGCCAGTGTTCATGCGTGTCAGTGGGTGGTTGAAAATGCTCCAAACACCAGTAGCCTAGGTGCACACGAAAACAATGTGAAGGAGAGAGAAGGTTGTCTTGAGAGTTCCCCAGGGCAGCTCGTGGAGGAGGAATGAGAGGGCCTATTTGGCAGAAGTCTTTCTTTGAATAAAGTCAGTCAAAGGGCTATAGGGGGTGCACTTAGGGATTATGTGCGGGTTGTTACCAGAAGCATTTTATTAAGTATTTCCTTCATTTGTATAGTGAAACCAAAGGAAAAACACATAGGGCGTGAGCACTGTAGCAAACCTTTGTGGGACTGAACTGTTGTACCATGAATTATTGCTTTCATGTTTTATAGGAATTACAAAGACAATGGAGTGTTTGGGGTTAGAGGCCAGCTGAGGGTGTCAGAGGGAGGGAGTGGTGTTGAGAAGACTGAGAAACAGTAGGAGCACAGTTTTCAATACACTCTGCACATTTTGGTGATGCAGTCTCTTAATGTACTTTGAGGCTTTTTAATTTTTTGCAAGAATGCAAATGTATACTGTAAATCCAGCTTCACCGCCTACTATGCTGATTTCACTCTCTCTTAAGGACTCAGCATTTATCCACAGTCAACCTGCCAGACTGGATAGGTCAGGCACCAACACCACTCACTCCTGTTGTATGTAGCTCCACAGGGCCAGTCACGCCAGTAAATCTCAGGAGAAGCTGAGCTGAAATGGAGGAAGCTCATGGTCTGTGGAACTGTCTGGGCCTGTTATTAATTCTGCTATCAATTTAATAATTAATTATGTTAATTAATCTTATTGGGCTTTGTTAATTAACCACCTTTTGGGGACGTTTAGATGAGGCAAGAAAATTTCATTGGCATGCGTAAGCCTGAAATCATTCCAAATCAGCTTTAGACTGCAGAGAAAAAGCTTAACTAAATGATTGAGCTTAATGCCTACTAACTAAACAAACATTATTTAAATAGCTACTGTATGCCACGTACTGTGTTAGGTATAGTAATAAAAAAAATTCAGTGTATTGTCTAGTATAAATTTAAAGACCCAAGGGAATCTAATCTAGAAGAAAAGAAAATGCCAATTTTCAAACTGTGACACAGCTTTCTGTCTTTTCATTAAAATAATCCTGGCTTATTGCCAGAAGGTAACGTGAATTTAAAAAAAAAAAGTCAAGGTATATACCATCAAGTTCCAAAGGTGTTAGCAAAAGTGGAAATTGTTTGTTCAGTTACTGAGGGAGTTAATTGAGTCCCTGTTTTGTACCAGGCAGTGGGGGTACTGTGGTAAAAAGACTGTCCCTTTCTCCTGGAGTCTACACTTTAGTGGAAATAGACACAAATACAGCTTCTAAATGGATCATGACCTATCACCATTAATGTTAAAAGTGCAATAGTCTTAGCTGCAAAAGATTGAAAAGACTTGTTCTATTGTCCCTCAGGAGAAAAAAACAAAAACAAACAACCCGACTAGATGATTTTCTAAAAGCTTCAGTCCCAAGTACTGCATTTTGAACTTTGCTTCCACAAGTTTTAATATTAGATTCCAACATATTCACCAGAAATTAAGTTTATATCAGTTCTTTAGAGAATTTGTCCCCATTTCAGCCCTTTAACAAGGAATGAAAAGATCTCCCCCTCCACACCACCCTCAAAGAATTTCTGGGCTTTCTGGGTCCTAAGGGATGAACAATAATCAGTATCAGTATACCCTCATATTGAGTTGTTTCAACTGTTCTTAATTAGAGTGTTCAGATCGTCACGTCTGTGAAGGATCTCATCATGCATAAAGGCCGAGGCCCCTGCAGTACTCAGTGTGTCCTCATATCCTTGCACTTACATGGAGAATTGAAATTTTGTTTACTTCCTATCTCTCCCAGGAGCTCCTTTCTTCAAGGACAGAAACTAGGTTTTAATCATCATATGTACTTCCTGCTAGAAACATACAGCCTTGAATAACGGCTTCCTCAAGTCACTTTAATATCCCCAGTGCCTAGCACAGAACTCGCAAATGTCAGACTGCTTAGGAAACGGAACTGAATGCAGCTGTGCTGAGGCTATTTGGGGCTTGCTGTCAGGCACGGGCACAGTTTTAATGGGGCTTTCTGCCCTTGATAAGACTTGCCTTAAACAAAGTCCAAAGTCCAAGGGGAAGATGGCCAGGTAACCAGGTGCACTGCCCAGTACAGCAGGGAGCCAAAGGAACCGTGCCCAGCCCGCCAAGGCCTGCCTCCTCTCTGGGGATCTCAGCTAACAGGGAGGTCCCAGCCCAGGTTGCCCCTACTCCAGGGCTTCCCAGCTTCCTCCATTTGCTCACCTCAGGCCTTCTGACACCCCGCAGAAAGCTAAGAGATTTTTCCATCCCTGAAGTGGGTGCCGGAATCGACTCGATGGCAACGGGTTTGGTTTTTGTTTTTAAGGAGAGTGTGGAGCCCTGGTGGTGCAGTGGTTAAGCATTAAGAGTTCGGCTGCTAACCCAAAGGTCGGTGGTTTGAAAGAAAGATGTGGCAGTCTGCTTCTGTAAAGATGACAGCCTTGGAAACTCTATGGGGCAGTTCTACTCTGTCCTATAGGGTTGCTATGAGTCAGAATCGACAGCAGTGGGTAGTGGGGCTTTAGAGAGGGTGTGCTTCACTGCATTACGTGACTGAGCTAAGGTGCCCTTCTTTTATTTGTCCTCTAGGCCAGAGGGAGGCTGGGCATTAAGTGGGAGGAAGTACTAGAGAACACAGCTGACAGATTTGTATGTATGTATTTTACAAAAGACAAGTTCACTAGAGTAAGCAGGATGATTATTCCATTTAAAAATGGGCTAGAAAGTTAAAATACATTTAAAATATTATTTTTGTTTTTACATATTGAATGGACAAACTTCATATTACCAGGAGTTTGCTTTGCTTTTAATGTGGATTCATAGTTGTTGTTTCAGAAGTTTCCCGGATGGAGCAGGTTTATTGTGAGAGCTTTCTCTCTCCTCTGGGCAAATTTAGAGAAGTATAATACCCCAAGATGTGGTTTTTGGCAAAAATTCTGACTTTAAACTAGTTATCTTAATATGGACCTTTCACAAGGTAGCTTGAGTAGAGACAGTAGTGTCTTGCATTATGCACGGTAAGCTCTTTTAAAAGATAGTATTTCAGAGCCCACAGGGATAAGATTCCAGTCTGGCCAAGTGCTTTAGGAAGAGGCTGAATGTGAACAACCGCAGAACTTTAGGCCTGACCTTCTGCATTTTATGACAGAGATTCTCAACTCTGGTTTTACATTCCTTTGGATTGGAGTCAGTGATATCAAAGGGCTTCACAGTTCTCCTGGACAAAAGGGATTTTAATTCATTCTAAGAAGTGCCAAATGATGTATGCTGCATGGCAATTTTAATATGGGGGAGGGAAGGACATCTCCGAGTTAAACAATAAAATAGTTGCAGTAGGTAAAAAAGTTGGCGACGTGTCTTCTTACTGTACTGAAAACAAAAGGGTTTGGGGACTTGCCTTCTGAAGTCTGCAACTTCATGGGAAAAAATCTACACAATCTGTAGATTGATTTTTTTTTTCTGATCATCATATAAAGCAAATAAAACTTAAAATACTTTGTAACCACATATTTACTCTGTCAAATGCCTATATTCCAATAAAATGTTCATCCTTAATGACTTGTCCAGATGTCATACTCATTTGGAAATGGGACTGGTTTCATCCTGTAAGCAAATGTTATACTTGAGTTGGGAAGAACAGGCATCAGGGGCAAAAAGGAACTTTTACTCTTCTGTTGTCAGGGAGGCATCTGCAGGGAAGCCACTTAACATCAAGTGTAATTATGCTTTAATAATGCATATGCTTATTTCTCTAGGAATTGAATCAAGCCCATAATACAGCAATAGGCAACTACTCTTGATGCAATAGGACTGCTGTTCAAACTTAAATTTATATTCAGTGGGTAACATTGAGCAAAACATTCACCCTTTTCATAAGTATAAATAAAACAGTTTTTATTCACCAGTACCCTCAGTTGCTCGTAAAATGGTGGTGTCAGAGGTCCTCTAACTTCAGGAGGGGGGAAGATAATCACCATCATCAGCCCAAAGCTGATTCCCATGAGGCAGTGATCAGACATACCTTACCCTCCAACCTTTTTACCAATTCTGACACCAGCTGTCCCTCCCATGGTGCTCTCTACTTCGCTGCTGGGTTCGATACTTCGTTGTAATGGCCACACAGAACTCACAGACCATATTTACAATTATAGGGTTTATTAGGGAAGTAACAGATTACAATTCAGGATCAGGATCAACTTGGAAGTAACAGGAACAACTCAGGATACAGTTTTTTGATAGGACAGCTGCTGCTTTGGCACGCCTGCAGGCAGGCCTTTGCCGCCAGGCCCTGCTTGGGCCTGGCCTCTGCCCTGCTTGGTTAAGTGTTATAGCTCTTTCTTTAGCTCCACCAATAAGTACCTGGAAGCGCCCTCACTCTGCCAGCAAGCCTTCTGCCTAAAGACGCTCAGCCCTCTTGGTCCGTGGGTCTGCAAGCCCACTGTAGTCACCTCACTCCATGGTCTGGGAAGACACCATGTGTCTTACGCCGGTCTCCTGGTTCTGCTACAGCAATTTCTCTGCTGCTGAACTTTGCAGTGCTTGCTGCTGCTTCCCACCATCTCATGCTCTCTCCAGTACTACAGCTCTGTCTCCTGGGTTTAGGAAGTTCTCAGCACAGGGACCCTGGATCCAAAGGATATCCTCTGCTCCTGGCTTTTCCTTTTGATGGTAGTGAGGTCCCCCTCCAACCTCTGGGATTTGCTATTTTTAAGCCTAGCAGGATGGCAAAACTGACCAATCCCCTTGGTGGGCCATAGGTACCTTATTTGCATAGTCCCACCCAATCATTTTATGGGAGTTACAAGACCATGGCTAGAAGGGCCATATAATAGCAATTCACTGCGCTGCACTCATTCATCCATGAATTCATTCATCCAGAAAATAGTGATCGTCTACTATATGTAGACACTCTAGTGGGTGCTAGAGAAATGGGTGAACACAGTGGACATGATTCCTGACATCTGGAAACTCACACTCAGGGAGGACATGGCCAGGGACAGCCTAGAGTGGATATTTACTTTCTCACCAGTATTTGCTTTTTCATCAGGACCTTGGTAAGACAGAAACCAGATTGGAACGGAAGGTGAAGGTGGACACGCTTCAGTTTATCTTTACCAAAACTGAATCTGATATTCTTGGTGTGGTCTGACTAGTGGAGCAAAGTGGGATT